ATTTCAAATACATGTCAAGGTCAAAAAAACAATTGCAAAAACAGGGTTATTCGTTCATTGAAATCGACTTGACCATGCATAATTATCACTTAATAGAGATGTTACGTATTGCTATCTACAAATAAGAGGGAAAAACACAACGACTATTACTAGTTACTATTCGGTCAAGGAGTTAACAGTTTTTACCTCATGATGTTTTACAGCGTTCAAATTACATTGAGTAATATTATGTACTAGGTGAAACCCGTCGAAATCGACGGTTATTTTCAAGGATTACGCTAATTCATCTAACTGCGATAAATTGAGTGAAATTGTTCATATTTTGAGCATTTAGCATTGTTTAAAGATTAATAAGTGTAAAAAAAATAATGATAGTTACCAAATATGGTTGATCATTCAATGAATAAAATATCTCCCATACTGTACGTCATCGGAGTTATTAGTATATTATCTGGTATCTCATCGTTTGGATTAAACTTTAAATAGTATTAAAATCGTATTGGTGGATCTTTGGTAGTTAAACACTTCCGTGATTTCATCAGTGTAATGCAGATTAATCTATGATTTTATTTGAAAAAAATATCTGTTTGTTGGGAAGACACGTTCTAACTTCAAAGGGAGGTATATCTATTACAGTGTAAGTTTTATTTTTCCTTCGTCACGTCGCGTCAGTTCATATCGTACTTCTGTGCCAATGAATAACCCTCTAGCACAGTTTTGAGAAATTTGTTGAGGGGTTACTGTTAAAGCTGGAATTCCTTGACATGGGGGATGTCAGTTAGTTGTCTCAGCCATATCAATTACGTCAAAAAGTTGTCAATATAATCTCTCTATGAAATGTGAGGTGTAGTGGAATATACTTGAAGTGAAGTTGGCTTTTATTCTTAAACTGTTAGGGGCCTCCTCATTTATATGCGGCTTCATTGACAACAAATAATGCAAATGACATAGAAATGGGACATTTCCAAAAAGCAAAAATACTGTAAATTTGCTGTTACGTAAATATTGACGTTTACATGCATTGTTAATCAACGTATCTTATAAAGGATGATGTGATCTAGTTTAAAAGGAATATGACCTTTCTGTCATGACAGTAGCTGCTTAAATATTATTTACTCATTGGGCCATATTTACAGCCAAAATGTTGTGTTATTTTCAATAACATATGGGTAAGTTACATAGATTTTTTTGCTGCTGATCAGTGCACTTTAAGAATATATATTTTGGAGATAAATTAAATGGTTTTTGTTGCAGAGTAGCGCTAGTAAACATGCGCAACCCTTTTCGTTAGTCTAATAACATTCAAAGGCTCTCTAAGAATTCAAGTTCTTATTTGTATAGGTACATATCTATATTATGTTTTCACTATAAGCTGAATGAATACATCGAAGTAACCTCTCTGAAAAGTCGGCAGTATATTGCAGTTTTCCAGCTTAATAACTTTATTTATCATGCAAATATTTCTACATAAACATTGTAAAATGTTTATCCAGTTGCTGTTAACTACTATTAATTTAACAAAATATGGACACGGCTCAAATAGGCACCGTGCCCTTCTGCACTTGTAGGCTATTATTTTGTATTGTATTACACAATTTAATATTTTTCCAATGATTGAAAACATGTATGACAATAATCCCATGAACCTATGATGATCTGTCTAGAACAATATGATAAAAATAAAGACAAAAATGGTGAAAAGGGCAGTCACCAACCCGTAAAATAGATATAAGGTCAATAAGAAATAATTTTAAGAGTTACTGTGATAAAAGGATTTTCAACTGATTTCGTCATGGTATATATTGCAAAACATAACATGATACAGAAAAAAATTAATTTTAAAATCAGAAAATAACATTGCAAATGCTTCTTTTGGACAATTCAGTAACTTCCAATTAATGTGTATTGTTTAAAATACAATTTACAAATTAACAGCTGTTTCATTAAAAAGTATTATCCACATGGCCAAAATGTAAAAAAATCTGTAGAGGGATCTTTAAAGGCTTCTGGGGCAGAGCCCTAAGGGAATTTACTTAGTTTTTCTTTTGATAACCCATCTACAGACCAAGACCTTTCTTTTGACACCCCTACCAAGTTTCTACGCCCAGCTGTTCTCTCAAATTAGTGGAGACAAAGTTTCCAATTAAATTTTTAGATTCCCCCTTATGGGAGGAAATCCAACTTTTATGGAAGATCCTGCCCAAACTAATAAAGATATCAAAAAACAAAAAACACTTTGCAAAACTACAGATCAGGGCAATTCTTTTGACATTTTAATCATCAAAATCGGTCCAAAAATGAGGGAGGAGTTCTGTTCACAAAAATCGGCTTAGCGTATTATGTATATAGATAGGTAGATTTCGTCAGCTATAGTTCGGCCGCTTAGAAAGCGACCTCCTCCAGCATTGGTTTAGCATTAGCGCGCAGGTCGTTTTCTAAGCGGCCGAACTATAGATTCATATTTTTCATTATTTTTGTTATGTGTTCTTTCCTAATGTCCATGTACAGGACCAATGGATAATGGTGTTAGAAGTACGGGAATTTAAATATGTAATTTTGAGTAGTAATAACTAGAATGCCAAATCTAGGTTTGTTTTTACACTATTAATACCGTATGAAACAAAACTTTGAACTTTACATCAAAGTCTATCTCGGAACCGTATATACACTTATTTACAATACAAACTAAATACAATATGTATTTAGTTGATGGAGAATTCCATGCACGAAAACCTACCTAGTGAATGTCAGATGATTGTTAAAAATCGTAGATGTTATACTTGGGATTATTATTTCATCCTTTGGCAATTTTCCCTTTATGACATCTATGACTGAGTCATTATGGTAAGAAATAGGGCAAGGAAGTGTTTCGTTTTAATTTTCAGGTCCATAGCACTATTTTTTCTAGAGACATCAGTCAGAACTAGTGGAGTACAACGCATTAGTATTCTACTGAAGACGTCGTAGAACAAAAGACAATTAGGAAAGTATAGAAACTGCAGAGAATTCTTGGGATTGCTACGAGCTGTGGGGATGTTGAAATAAACCAAAGTAATTCTCTCTTCTACTAATCTTTCTGAAAAACTAAGACTGCAACCCCTTAATCATTATATTCCATTCGAATGTCTTCAGGCATTTAACAAACATTTATATTGTTGCAACCCACCAAACAATCCTTAACTATTATATGAGCAATGTTTGCTGGTACAGTAATATGTATGTGCTTGCACAAAGATCTCATAAACTGCTTCGACGATTTTTTTCAAATTTTGTAAATAACTTATTTCTGGCCTAAAAACGTGTTTGCTGTAGTTAAAACTACTGCCAACATAATCTAATTACGTAAAAAATAAAATTGAAAGTCAAAAATTTATTGTTGTAACCCACAAAATAATTAGTAACTAGAGGTCGTCCAGTGGTCGGAAACTCGACCAAAAATACTTAATGTACAGTTTTCTGTTTTCAGCCCCACCCTGTAAATCAAACATATGATTGGAAATTCATCAATTTGCTTTTATTTTCTATTTATATTTCGTTGTTATTTCGTCACCAGTATGGCAACCAATAAGGCCAATGTTAATTTTTTAAATTTTTTTTTGGTGTTTTTTTTTGAGCCTATTTTCTTTCATAATCCCTTAATAATTCTGCACATATTATACAGGTAAATTATCTTTCCAACATTATACGTAGATATTCCCTCCTAATACGCGAGCTGAGAAAAAAAGGTTGTCAAGGAACAAGCTTGCCTATTGTAGATAATAGCAAAATGTTACAATGTGAATCACTTATTAACGAATTTCTTGATCTTTTTTGCTTAGCTCAACTTCGTCACATTATCGCTAGTGACTCACGAATAAGAAACTGCTGGATAAGCTTTAATGTTCTTGATAAGCGATGTTGATTCTGGCACGAACTTGAGTGTCGATGCATGGTAGATTAGACTTGCTTAGTTACTGGAATGACGATTGAACTTGAAAAGTTTACACAATAACTAATATTTCTAGTTGAAACACACTTGAAAATTACTGTGCTTAGCTATTAGGGAATTAGCCACCCACTAAATCCATAATGATTCTATAATCGTAATTTAAAGTTAGTAAACTTAATAAAGAAGACACACGCACTCAAAGACACCACAGCACAAACATGTATTGTATCTGCTGGTCCATTTAAATCTAAGAAGTGTGTGCATCGACTTTGAATAGGAAAAGTAGACTTCTCATCCTAGGATAAAATGGAAGGCCTTTATATGTGTTTCGTTTGAGTGTACTTTTCTCTTCATTTAAGGTGGATTGTACGTTTTTTTATTGCTATAGGGTAATTGATAACCTATTAATGTATGTGTTTTGTTAATTTAGCTTTAAAACAGTAAAATTACAAGAAATAATATACATTAATGTATCCAAACCGGTAAACCAATCATAAAAATTGTCTTCAGCTGATCCATGACCATGGTAAATTTTTTAAGAGAATGTTACCTTTCGATGGTAGAATTAGATAATGCAATCTCATGTTAAAGTTGAGGGTGTGTTGCTCCTAGTGGTTAGCGTCTCGGACTTCATTGTGGGAGAAATGGGTTCGATTCCCGGCACATCCACAAAAAATGTGGATTTGTACCACTCTCCCAAAAAGCGTTTGTGAACTCTTTCCAACATCTCTTCTGAAAAATGCAACCGGCGTAGACATCAATGAAGATTAATATAAGCCAATGACAACTCTCAGTAAACCATTGCATCTTTTATGCCAAGTTCAACATTCTGAGAAACAAAAACTAAGGAAATGGAACTTCTGAATGTAGCATATTTTGTGAGTGATTAATTAACTATGCTTTTTAATGAACATTTAGCATCAGCAGGTCCATCAATATACTGTAGAGTATACTTCAGTATCCAAAAGTCATTGTTTTGGTGTGGACCACTCTACAACCAGACCCCCTCCACACCACAGCAACTCTCGGCGTGGTCCTACACTAGTCAGTTTAGCACTAGCAGTCAGTCAGTCAGAGTCAGTAGTCACTAGTCAGTCAGTCAGGTCTGGTCGCGAGTGTCATGTGCTGGGGACATTAACACATTCAACACTAGGCTACTGTAAACATTGGAAACAGGTGAGTGTTTATGTTGAAGTTACAACGTCAGGTGTAGAGTTACTTTACGTTACTTTATTAGTAGTAGCTTATATTTCAATCTTATGGGAATTTCATACCAATTAATAAAATTACATTATACTATAGCTCATCCGTGGTCGAAAACTCGACCAAAAGTATGTATTTTGCAAACTGGCCCATGTTATTTTTGTTTTATTTTAAATTCATTTTGTGCATATTTTTGAGCCTATTTTGATTTATAAGGGATTCTTCACATATACAGGCATAATATCTTTCCAACAGTATGCGTAGATTTTCCCTGCGATGCACACGAGCTGAGAAAAAAGGTTTTCAATAAACACGCTTGTCTATTAATATATAGAATTAGCCCCATGTTAAATCTCCATAAGAAAAGTGGAATTTCCATTTTTGACCCAATTAACATGAATACTCTCAAAACACAAATAAAACGCGTGTAAATCGGTCCAGTAGAATAGTCAGGCAAAGCTGTCATAAGTTTTGCAAAAGTTTTGTAATATATCAGATTTTAAGACTTGTGAAATAAATTTTAGAACAAACTAAACAAAAAAATCGTTCTTTAGGTTTTAAACGGGTTGAAAGTAGCTCATTTAAGCGTTCTACTGACATCTCCAACTAATTTTTATAATCGACCCACAGTAAAACATAATTAAAAACCCTTCGACTTAATAAACCAGAGTGTGTATATAACAACAATACTTAATTTGAAAGACCTAACACTGCACCTACCTTGTTTCTATGTATTTGTTTAGTCGTTTGCGCTTATAACCTTTTATTTATTTATTATTTATGTCTGTGCGGTTGCCATTTCCCGGTTGTTGTATTCAGCAATATTTAAAAACAACTTAAAGGATCACAAAAAGTTATAAAAAGTCTTAAAATGGCAATTCAGATTAACCATTCCTCTGATCTTACAAAGAAACTAAATACATTCTAATATACCCAATACCACGACTATAATCTATAGAAAAAATACACAAACGATACGCAAGATTTTTAATGAGTTTGTATCATTTGCTGCATACCTCCAATAAGGCAATTCTATATATTGTGTGTATGTGAATACACTCTTACATCACGTCAAGAATCTTTCTTGGCTAAAAAAAAAGTTGCTTTAAAATGTTTAAATCATAGGATGTAATTAACCCTTTGTAATCAATTGCTATAAGGATGCTATTAAAGTTCCCCTAAGAAATTTCTTTTGTACAATTTATTTGTTTTCATATTAATTGACTCTTAATAAGTTTTTCGTCATACTGCTTTAAAAACAACTACTGTTTTTGACACATGCGTTGAGATTAAGTTCATCTTTTTAGTCATTGGATAATAACATAATGTTTTGATCCAAATCTAATCTAGTCCAAATCGAATGTTTATTTTGAAGAACAACCGATTGATTTGGACCACAATTATTGGTTTGAATAGTTATGAATGAACCGAAAGCATGTGCAACAGCTGATTGTTTCAAAAGACAAGTTGAAAGAAACATTTGAGGTTATGAAGACACAGTACGTAATTATACTTTTGATTTTATTTAAACCTAAAGTTTTGGCAGTATGACGAAAAATATTGTTAAAACTTATGATGAAAACACACATAACATGTCTTTGTAAGAATATCAGCTGTTAGTTACACATACCACGCTGGCTCTAATAGTATCCTATATGTTATCCCCGCGCAATACCCCATAGCGCTGATAAAAACCGTATCATATCTAAGATCAGTTGGTAAATTTGCAGTAACCTCCTCGTAGCGTTGTCATTGTCACTGCACTAGAGTTCACAGAGTCAAAGTCCTGTTGCTATCAACACTTCTCTTGGTATCCTGCCAATGGCGAGCCTAGCCCACGGTACATCTGGGTCAATGGCTGCATGCTAGCTGCTCCTTGCTAACTCGTCTGTTAACGGTGCTGTCAGTGTCGGCCATTATATATCAGCTGATTACAACAATTACTACCAGCTGATCTGGAACCGGAAATCATCCATTGTCCACTACAATCTGTTCGATCGTGCGATAGCGTTATTGTTTCGAGAAGAGATTTATTTAATCGGGTTCATTTAACTGATTTTAAAAATTGAAAAGTGTGTTGGAAACAAGTAGCTGTACAAATTGTTAAAGAAGTAAGTAACTTGAGAACTTAAAACTAATAAATGAGCTCACATACAATGGGATGAGAATACAGTAATAACTAATGGCAGTATCTATTGTTGTTCTTGTAACCACTACTTAGACTATATTCATAAAATAAGAACTTAAAATTTTATTATTTTGTGTGTTGAGTCGTTTTGTTTTCTTCTCTGTAGTGCTAAGATTGCATGCGATTGGTCTCATGGTTTAGCACAGGCCTTCTGTCCTGAAGACCTGGGTTCGAATTCTGTCAATCTTCAAGTTCGCTGCATGATAGTGTCACTAAAATATGCCTCAAATGTGTCAAGGACTATTTAAATTGATGAAATCCCTCTCTGAGACTTTACTGGTTAATTGTTTTTTAAGTAATCTGTGCTATATATGTACAAACAGGTAAATAAAAACGTTTGATAAAAGATTCATACATCCATTGATACACGTTCAATACTAGTTTAACTAGGAATACGAAACGACACGAATGGAATATAACTCTTAATACACCGTTTTGATATGACGAACTGTTTATCAGTGTACGGAGGTCTGACGATCACGGGAATGCTGTAACTATGAATGAATGGTAGTATGCTAAATGGTGATGCATGCTAATCTAACTCTGTTCTGAGGTGGCGCAACTCGTGTTAACATTACGGACAGGATGTCGCTGTATAAAGATCGTTTCTGTTTGTACATGATTACGAACTTCATATAGAACGAAATAATCTTATCGTATGAGACCATGTCACCAGTGAACCAGCGATTCGTAATTTCTTACTCAGTGCGTGAATGAGTTGTATGACGTGTGACAACTTACGTTATCATTAACCAAACAAACAACTACCAAGTTTAACTTGAATATGAAGAAGACCAGTTGCTAAACAAATGACACACTGAGCCAAATAAATATAACTTTTCCCTTAACATAGTGCTTGGGTTTTGGGTTTTAGCACCCGGCGTTGGTCCGACGGAAGCTGGGTGCTAGAGGAAGACGATTTTCAGTGGCACCTTTTCTAGGGTTAGGTAACGTCACGGACCAGCTGATCAGCACAGCTGTAGTTGCCACACTGGTAGTGGCTGCTGTGGTGTCGAGAGTCAGCAATGTTACGTCAAAACCACTGTAGTGCCTTGACTGTCATCATGGTGTCAGCCCTCTTTAATCTACTATCATATATGACGAACACATGATTCTCAATAAAATAGCTTGTCAAAGTGGTTTTTCGTATTTTTCATCCTATTTAATTATAATAATGTAATTTGTCTTACAAATGGCACCACTATCATTTATACAACTTTTGATACCTTATACAGTATTCCCCAATCACTTTGCTTTATGGATACGACGGATGGATTACCAATCAAGTTTTTACTTGTAAAATCATGGATTAGCCTATTTTCATCAGCCATGCATCCTAGAGTAGAAGAGTCTTCGATATCTTATCTTGACGTCCACCTCAGCTCCGTCCTCTTCTATTTTTCTTCTTCTACTCTTCCTCCTCTTCCTTATCCTTCTTTTTATTTTTATTTTATTCCATTTTCTTTATAGTCATCATATTACCACGCCATTTCCCACTTCGATGAGTATATCGTCTACCTTCTTCCTCAAAGGCCTCCCAAGTTCTCACTTGATGAGGAAACAGAATGGCTCTAAGATTGAGAAGGTTATTCAGTTAAATCACAGGCAATGGGGAAGTAATCCTTCTTGACTAAAATATACTTTCACCAAATAGTATGCATGGAAATCTGTATTGTTTGTAAAGCAGCAGTGAAAAAATAAACGTTCGAAGTCGTTATGTTATGTCTCGCCGTTTTACTATGCAGCAGTTCAATAAAGTGTATGTATACAACGTCTTGTGTCAAAATGTCTTGTAAGAGCGTATATTGTAGTGATTAGCTATTCAAAACACTTGCACATTGAAACAATGCTATAGTATTTAATGTTATTTACCCATAAAAATTCGGAGTTTAAAGACACCTATCCTGCTCACATTAACACGACGCATATGGACGTGTGGACAGCAACTAACTGCTTGATGCAAAGATAATACCTGTATGGAAGGTTTCGCTGAGGTGACGGTCAACCGGTTTGCGCAGATTCTTCTTCGGCTAAGTAGGTCTGAAGTGGAAGATAGCCTTCAGAGTCTTCAAACCTCTCTGTGAGAGTCGTTGACATAGTCTTGCTATTGTTGGCTTGATTATTGTGTTGTATTGCTGACTCGTGACAACATATTGGTTGTGTCATGAACAATACTGTAGGCCTACTGGGAAACATCCTTCAAAATTGTTGTTTCTTCTGTGTTAAACTCACATGCTTGTGGTTCTAATTGAAGCGCTATAAATGTTAGACAAGTTCGATGTCAACATAAGATTTCTATTAAAACTAAAGGTCGTCCAGAGGTCGAAAACTCGACCAAAAATATGTAATGAACAGACTTCTCTATTTTCCCCCACGCTGTAAATAAAACAAGTGTTTGGAATTTCTTCCATTTGTTTTGATTTTATATGTTTTGTTGTTATTTCGTCACCAGCATGGCAACCCATAAGGCTAAATTTATTTTTTTGTATTCATCTTTTTGCTTGTTTTTGAGCCTATTTGAATTTTTAAAGGGGTTCTGCACATCTACAGAAAAATATCTTTCTAACAGTATGAGTAGATTTTCCTTGTGATATACACGAGCTGAGAAAAAAAGGTTTTAAATAAACATGCTTGCCTATTAATTCCAACAAACTTAAAGTAAATAAAACCTGATTAAACCCCTAATAGTTTTTTTCTTCTTAAAGTTGTAGTTGTGTTGACTAACAGTGTGCATTATTATTGTGGTGAATAGTGGTAAAAGGGTATAGTGTGGTGAAAAATAGCG